TTACTACATTTCCAAAAGAACTAAAGTATCAATAGAAAGAGTAGTTCATTCCAGTTATTATATACTCATGAACCTATTAGCTATCTCCTTTAATACTTGACACTTAAGGAATTAAACTCCTCATATTACTATATCGTATAATCCAATGTAAAAAAGAAAGCATAAATAGTCTAAACTAGAATTTCTTTTAAAAATCAAACCAAACCACACCTCAACAAGTGTTAGTGATTAAGAGTATTTATTTTACTGAAGAGCTTAATATTTGAGATCTAAGTCATAAAACCACCAATAAATATATATGAGATTACAATACAGTATAATCTCATACTGACCCTCTGTGGTTTACTTAAGCATAACATCACAAAAGTCCTGAGGTTCAGAATATGTTACTAAAACCACATGCGTCTTAAGATATAAATATACCAAAATACACTCATAATATGAATAGTGCTTTGTAGTTTATAAATATCTCAATTAAGCAAGAAAGGTATTATTAGCTCCAATTTCCAAATAAATAAAATCAAGTTAAGAGAGATTAGTTTCAATGATCTCATACAACATTCACATGTAAAAGACCCTACTTCTTATACTCACAAGTGTACGTGTGCATGTACATACGAATTCATAGGTAAAAACACACTATGAGGAGCCTTTAAAAATACTACAGTTTAGATCCTTTAAAAGGGTATTATACATTAGAATACCAATCTTCTCCCCTTAAATTAAAAGTAAAAAAACATACTCAATGTTGATAATTCCATGAAACTGACACTCTTACTGATTGTTGAAGGCATTATAAGCTGGTATAATACTTTTGGAAAGCAATATGGCAATAACTTCAAGACATAAAGTATTCATAACCTTTCCTAGTAACTTCTATTTCTGGGAAACTATCCTATGAAAATAATTCAAAATATGGAAAAAGCTATAGATTATTTATAGCATGCTGGATGCTTGGCATCTGAGTTTTAACATTTGAGGTTTGACACTAGTAGTTTTAACAGCTTGTGAGAGAACCACAGGTTGATCTACAGCACATGTAAAGTTGTTGTGTGAGTGAGGAAGTCACGTAACTAACAAGTGAGCCTGACTGCTAGCTTCAGCTTCTCATTGTGGCCTGGTTGCTTTCT